TTGGTGTGATGTGGTGCCTATAGATGCATGTCATATTCTTATAGGGAGGTCGTGGTTGGACAATAAAGACCTGGCCCATTATACAGAAACTAATACCTAATCATTCAAGAAAGGTAGTGAAAACCTCACTTTGCAACCTCTAAAGGAAGAAGCTACAATTTTTCCTAATGCTAGAAAGGTTAATGGTTTTTTGACTACTCAAAAATTTGGAGTGGAGACTGGAGAGTAGAGAAGTAGGAATTATCTATGCATAGGTAGGTTGGAGTGTAACGAAGGCCCAACAGATTGAATTCCATGATTTTCCATTCGAAATTCAGCAACTTTTAAAAGATTTTCAGGAGCTGGTTATTGATGAGTTACCGCGAGGTTTGCCAGCAATGAACAGCATTCAACATACCATTGATCTATTACCAAGGGCAACTTTACCCAATCTACTGGCTTGCAGAATTCCACCTATACCTAGGGATGAAATACAAAAACAAATTGAAGTGTTGCTTGACAAAGATTTGGTGCGTAAAAGTAAATGCCCTTGTGCTGTCCCAACTTTACTTATGCCCAAAAAGGATGGTTCATGGAGAATGTGTGTGGATAGTTGTGCCATAATAAGATCACAGTAAAGTATCGTTGTCCAATTCCTCGCTTGGAAGACATGCTCGCTAAATCCAAGGTGTATGTTAAGATAGATTTGAGGAGTAGATATCATCAAATTCGAATGCAGAGTGGTGATGAGCAAAAGACCGCTTTCAAAACACTGAATGGACTCTTTGACTGGTTGGTGATGCCATTCGGCCTCTGCAATTCTCCGAGTACAATTATGCAAGTTATGACAAAGGTACTTAAACCTTTCTTGGAATTATTTGTTGTTGTTTACATTGATGATATACAGTTGGACTCGACATGAGCAGTTAGTCTATTTACGTCAAGTCATGGAGGTTCTTCGTAAGGAGAAACTCCATATAAATATGAAGAAGCACTCTTTCTTATGCCACAAAGTTGTGTTTCTTGGCTTTATTGTTTCCGCAAATGGCTTACAACTTGATCCAGAGAAAGTAAGAGCTATCAAGAAGTAGCCAATACCACAATCTATGGGTAATGTTCGCAGTTTCCATGGATTGGCTTTGTTCTACAAGAGGTTTATAGAGTATCTGAAGGGAGTTGAATTTAAGTGGTCAAAATTAACACAAGGGGCCTTTGAACAAATTAAAGAGATGATGACAGTGGCTTTAGTGCTAGTTCTACCAGAATTTGTGCAGCATTTTAATGTGGGGTGTGATGCATCACATGTGGGAATTGGGGTTGTTATTAGTCAAGAAGGAAGGCCCGAGGAATTTTTCAGTGAGAAGTTAACAGAAGACAAACGTCGTCATTCCACCCATGATTTGGAATTTAATGCACTTGTTTGAGCCATTCAACATTGGGAGCATTACCTAGCATACAGAGAGTTTGTTGTTTATTCTAATCATCAAGCCTTGAGATACTTGAATTTGCAGACGAAGCTAAATTCCAAGCATGCCAAGTGGAGTTCTTATCTACAGGGTTTACTTTTCTCTTAAATACAAAGCTGGTGAGTCTAACAAAGTTGCAGATGCATTGAGTAGGCGAACTCTGTCGTCGATAGTGATGAGTACACAAGTAATTGGGTTTTGAAGAACTGAAAAATCAATATGAAAAAGATCCATTTTTCAGCACTATTATAGTTGAACTACAAGGTTCAGCAGGAAGAAACAAGTTATCATACATGTTATATGATGAGTATTTATTCTAGGGAAATTAGTTGTGCGTTCCTAATAGATCCCTAAGCAGCGAACAGGTTGTTAGGGAACTTCATGGTAATGGATTAGGAGGTCATTTTGGAAAGGACAAGACAATTGTGATAGTGGTTGGTGGCTATTATTGGCCAAAAATGTATAAGAATGTGGAGAAGTTGGTTAGAAGGTGTCCAATTTGTCAATTTGGTAAGGGAAGTTCGCAAAACACTGGTTTGAACACTTCATTACCCATACCAGAAGCTCCTTAGGTACATATTAGCATGGATTTTGTTTTGGAACTTCCCAAGACAACAAGGGGATACAATTCTATTTTTGTGGTTGGATCGTTTTTCTCAAATGGTCCGTTTTATTCCTTCTTCAAGAATTGTTGATGCCACAAATGTTGCTGATATAGTATTTAGAGAAGTGGTGAAACTACATAGAGCTCCAACTTCAATTGTTTCTAACAGGGATGTGAAGTTTATGGGAAACTTCTGGAGGACACTATGGAGAAAACTTGGGACTGCACTTAAGTATTCTAGCACTTGTCATCCAACCGAAGCTTGGGCAACTTGTTGAGATGTCTTGTTGGGAACTATGTGAAGACATGGGATTCTATTATACCACAAGATGAATTTGCCTACAATAATTTGGTGAGTAAAACTACAAAGAAAACTCCATTTGAGGCAGCTTATGGGCTCAAACCTCAACATGTTCTTGACCTAGTACCACTACGGCAAGAGGCTAGAGTGAGTGAAAATGGAGAGGCTTTTGCAGGTCATATTAGATGAATTCAAGAAGAGAGAAGGAAACAATTACATCTTGTAATGAATCCTATGCAATAATAGCTAATCCACATCAGCAAGCTAAGGATTTTGAAGAAGGTAACATGGTGTTAGTACAATTGAGGCGAGATAGATTTCCTAAGGGCACTTACCACAAGCTTAAGTCAAGAAAGTTTTGTGTCATGCAAGGTGTTGAAGAAAATTAGCTCGAATGCCTATATATTAAAATTGCCACTAGATTGCAAATTAACCCTACCTTTAATGTGTTTGACTTGTATGTGTTTGAGGGATTTGATGTAGAAGTAGTTTCAAGAGAGGCTCAAATTAAACAACTTCTAAAGGTGCAACCAGATGTTGTTAATGGACGTCATAGAGGTAAAATCCAGGAAAAAGAATCAATATAGATGGTTCTTGGTGAAGTGGTTCGGCAAACCAACTAGTGAAAGCACATGGATTGCTGAGGAGGAGTTGAAAGGGATTGATCTAGAGGTTTATGCTGAAATTGTGGAGGCTTTCTCTCCGGAGTTAAGTTTCTTCTAACCCGGAAGGGTTTATGCAGGAACATCCAAGAATTTTTTCAAGACCAAGTGGACCCACTAGGCATAGCATATGCCTTAGTTAGAAGATTTTTAAAATTATCTTTTTATTTTCTGCAATATTTTATGTTTTATGTGAGTCTTATAGATGGTATTTATAGTCCTAGTCTTTTTAAAAAGTCATGTGACTATCATGTGAGTTTTTAATTATCTTTGTGGGATAAGATCAGTGTTTTGAAAAGCTCGCCTAGGCAAGAAGCGAAGCGAAGGTATCTCGCCTTGAACACCCCAGACGAAGCGAATGTGACTGAAACGAGAAAAAAATGAGAAAAATGAGCGCCTTGCGCTTAAGCGAAAAGCAAAAAAGCGAACGCCTTTGTCATGCGAAGCGAAGTAGCCTTTTATTTTTATTGTGGACCGTTGAATTGTTTAATTTTTATTGTGAACCGTTGGATTGGGGCAATTGAAAGAAAAATTATAAGATGTCAATACACCCAATTACCCCCTTATCCCATAAATATAAACCCAAACCCTAATTTGCAGGATCAGACCATCGTTGTTGTTCCTTCCTCTCTGGTCACAATCGTTGTTGCTGCTCATTCCTCTATGGTCAAGCGATCACTGCTGCTGCTCATCCTCTCTGGTCAGGCGATCGCTGCTACTTAGATGATCGACTGCTGTGTTGTTCCTTGCTCGCTAGTCAAAGACGAAGACTACTGTTGTTTCTCCTCCCTCGCTGGTCCAAGTTTGTCTCCTCTTTTTCTTCTCTCTTATGTATCTCTTCTTCCTCTGTTCTTCTTCTTTTCTGCTTCTAATTCTGTTTTTTTTTTTTTCTGCTTCTTCTTTCTATTTTCTTTCTGCTGCTTCTTCTTTTTTTTTTCTACTTCTTTTTGTTTTTTTTTCTGCTTCTTCTTTCTGTTTTTTTTTTCTGTTTCTTCTTCTTTTAGCCTCTTCTTCTTTTTTTCTCGTTTTTTTTGCTTCTGCTTTTTTTGCTTCCTGATGCTGAATGTTGTATTGTTAAATGCTGATAGTGTTGATTTTACTGATAGTGCTGATTTTGCTGAATGCTAAATGCTAAATGTTGATGTGCTGATTTTTTGTTGTTTGAATTTAAATGTTTAAACTATGACTGTTTTTAAAATTTGAGATATTATTAATGTTTGTTTTAATTTAAATATTTAGTATATATAAAATTAGAACTTAGATGTTTCGAAATAATTAAACTAAAATATTTACTTTTTTTTTTTAACTCGCTTCGCTTCGCTTCGGTAAAGTGTTTCGCTTCGCTTCGCTTCTTGCTTCTCGCCTAGACATTAGGATCCTTGGTCGCTTCGATTCGCTTCTTAAATAACACTGGATAAGATTAAAGAGTTATTAAGGTAATCAAGGGCTAGGATGCTAGGGCTGTTGTAACCCTAGCATAAATACCTCTTTTTTTATAAGTCTTTGTAGCAGGTTTTTTTATTATTCTTATTCCAGAAAATCTGATTATCTATCTTTCTTGGGTCTCTTTGTCCTAGAAATTCATATATTCATGTTTCATCTTCGATTCTAGTGCTTTTTCTGGTTATCTTATTGCTATAAATTCATTAAAAGGTGTTTATTCTTGCCCTAAATAGCAATTTGCAGCAAACCTAAGAATTTTGCTATATCAAACTTCGTCATTTTCAAGTACCCATCAGCCCTTTCAGGGTTCCTTAGGGAGCAATTCACTAGATTGATTGAATGCACAAAACCTTCAACTGGCTTATATTCTTCTAAAAATAATTAGCTCCGCCAGAAAAATCTACCCCCAATCAAGATGCAGGCCTCAGAGTTAATACAGTCAAGCTACATAAAGAACTAGTTTTCTACGACCCTTGCTGAAAATCTTGAGTCAAAAGTGTCCTCCATTTGTAATTTGATCAATTTATACTATTGGTTAGTTTATCATGGAGTTCGCAGCAATGTAAAGAACGGAATTGAAATAATAAAAACAAATGGGAAGGGGAGGAGTAACAGTACCTATTGCCCACTGTAACATTCCGTCGAGGGAAGAAAAACCGCCGTCGAACTGGTCCTCTTCATTCAACAACGACGCCGATGACTCATCTGCTTCAGCCTTCCTCACAAGATCCCCTTCCTCTTTTGCGGTTGACCAAAACAAACCTCCCGAAGCCGACTTATTTACACGTTCAGCCGTCTCGATTCCCATTACCATCGCCACCATCAACACCAACATTGCTATAGTCCTTCCCATCCTAACAATAGTAGCACTATGGACTACACACAGCAAGGCTGCAACGGTTTTGCAGTGCCGGACAGGTAGGTATTGCTTAGACTTGGAGCCAGGTATAAATCCGAGAGATCTGGGTCGGGCGCGAATCTTCTAGGGACCGATCGCTAATCTCGGCCGTTGGATATATAGAATTCCACGCCCATCCGAGTTTGCATGAAGTGTGCGGGCGACTTTTCTGATAACACGTCATCTTTCGCAACTCAGACAGTTGATGATGCTTTTGGTGCTGTTAACAAAAAATCGATGGTAAGCATTTCGTTATTTAATTATCATAACTAATCTTATTTTCTTATTAAATTAGTTTCTCAAATTATCAATATAATAAAGTATAATTAAGTTTGAATTTAAAAAACAAAGAGACGTCAGATCGTTTTGAGACAAAACAAAAATACATCCAACGGACAACGTAATCCCAACATAAAAGACGGTTCAAATTATCTTAAAAATTTTGATCTAACGGTATACAGTTAGTCCTAAATTTCTTTTTCCAACCATGAAGAAGTCTCTTATCGTAAGACTCTACACTCCTATCTAGCATACGTCTCTATCTTAAATTTGAAAAGACACAATAATAATTCAGATTAAATTCATTTTAAATTAAATCATCTAAATTTTATCTAAATGCATTAAACTTAATCCAATGGCTCACAACACATCCCACACAAAAATAAAATCTCATTAGGGGCTAAACCAGAAAAATACTTTAGGGTGGGCATATTAATAAATTTTAATTATTTTTTTATCAATGTTACCAATGACTTAATTCAATGTAACTGTTATTTTAGTTATAAATTTCAATATTAGATAAAGTCTACTTTCAATCAAAGGGGTGCATTGAATTATATCATCAAATTAGATCTAAATAGCATTTTTCATTTTTTCTTTTCAATTGACCATAGAAGTTCATAAATTCATATTTACTATAATTATGCGTAAAAATTCATTAAACATAAAAGGTTAAAAAACGATTTGGATGGAATAAACAAACAATAAATAAAAGTAAATTAATTAAAATTTTGTATGAGACTAATTATTATCATGTTATAATTAAATCTGATTATTGTTTATCATTTAAAAGAATTACAAATCAATGATATTAATAAATACTTTTTTTCTATATATAAATTGTAGTAGCAGTCTTTCATTTATTACCCTGTAATTTATTATATTATGACGCTCATCTCTATATAATAATAAAATAATCCTATAATTTAGAAAAATGAACGCGATATGTCTAAAAATTATTCGGACATGTCTGTGTCTAAAAATTTAAGAATAATAGTAATTGCATCTAATTCGAATTTAATTTTATATCTTAACCAAAAAAAAATTCAAAATTTAACTAGTAGGAACTCAACGGTTTGTGACCATTTGATGGATAGGATACATTATTAAATGTAGGGACTCACTATTAGATTTAATATCACAATGGTCACAAACTAATAACATTATTTAAAAATTAATTATTATTTAAGTAGTCGTCTATCTTAATCGATATCACAATAATACAATAATAAGGTGGATACAATTAAATATGTCTAAATTTTATTTTAAAAAATATATATTTATTGTAAAAAAATTGATGGTTGGCACAATTAAATATATCTAAATTTTATTTTAAAAAATATACATTTAATGTCAAAAAAAAAATTGAGAGGGGCACGTGCCCCCTGGTCAAAAGGTGGCTTCGCCCTTGAATCCCACACAATTTAACTACACCCACATGCTACCTATTTTGTCTAACACATAGCCCAAACTCTTTCTTTTTCCCCCATTAACTGTCTCACCTCTTTTAGTTTTTCAGAAATCATTGTCATTCTCCTCAGTCTCTCATATCTCTGTGCAGACTCCAACGATGGATAGAACTTCTTCAGCGACGCACGACATAATCTGGAGATCCACTGAATTTACCCACTCCGACCATCCACTCTCTTTCATCCAAATTGTATTGGCAGTGATCTAACATCCGGAAGTACTCTCACTGGTAATCTCTCCATCTCTGGTAAGTGTGAATATGTGTATATATTGACACTGATACAATTATCATGCAATTGAAACAAACGCTGCAAATTCCATCAGTCTCGCAAAAATCAATAAAATAAGAAGAAATAGTGATAAAAAATACTACCACCCCATTTAGGTTCTGGCCAATCATAAAGTAATTTGTTTGATGGTATAACAACTTGGTTGATATAATAATAGGTGTGAAATTGATGCATAGATATCGCCCACAGCCCAAGCAATGTAAGCCACGCCTTTGCTCCTCTCCACTGCCACTGCCCCCATCCACTATCCACCCACAATTGAATATATTGATGGATTTTTAGTGATAACAATTCAAAATAATAGTCCGAGTGGATAAATCAAACAAAAAATGAATATCTTAAAATTGTCAACAATGGTTTCCTATCGTTCGGAAAAGAAAGCAAGGAAAACGATCTCAAATTTCATTTATACTCCCATAATTTTAGTGTATTTACATTTTACCCCTTAATTTTTAGAAACATCATTATTGTTCCTTAAGTTTCAAAAATAATATTATAACCCCAAAACTTTTCTGAAAATTCTTCTTCTTCATATAACTTTAAGGCATATTTGACACATTTATTAGATCATGTGTGGGGTCTATATCTATAACTAATGCTAGAATTACCAATTGCTTATAACCAATTATTTTCTCTCTATTTACTTTCTAGCATAAATTGTATAAGTGGAGTTTAGCCTCATTTGAGGCTTTAACACTCAATTCCTATTGGTTGGAATTTTGGAGGTGTGTGCTTTATGGCGGATGACAAACTGATTTTGTGGGTAGTTATCAAATATTTTATGTTTAATTTTTATAATTGTGCAGTTAGCAAATATTTAACATTTATGTGTGTTTATGAATATTGATGATTTTTTTGTGTTGGTTTAGTGGTGTATGCTTTGACAATAGTTTATTGTTTTTAATTTTTAATATTTGTGTGATTTAGTTGTGAATGTATTGTCATTAACTAATTGTTGTTAAATGTTATATGTTAAAAATGTATTGTTTGTACCTTGATTTAAGTTGGTTTTATTTAATTTCTAATTTTACGATAAAATTTTGCATAAAATTAAAAATATTTTTATTAAACACACATAAAATACATAATATCTCTAAGTTTAATGCTTCTTTTTCAATATTTTATAGTTTGACATTTGATCTCAATAACCGCATACACGCCGTCACTACAACACAAAAATCAATATCCAAATGGACAATGTCACCATTTTTGGACATGTAAATTATTTAGTATATCGATTTTTTCAAAACATTTGGTATAATATTTCATTAAAAACCATTATATACTTACTATATAATTTTTCATCTTTCTTATTATAAACTGATTCACACCTAGAGTACACTATAAATAGATCTTCTTATCACACATCTTAATACCGATGATTGATATTTACTTCTTACGTCTTATCAATCAATGAAGTTTAAATTGTCTTTATAATTCATAAATAAAAACAAGTTATTATTCATACCAAAAATAAATCACTACTGTATGAAAACATATAATTCTCAGAAAATTAAAAAAAAAAAAATCAAAAACCCAAGTTAATCAGCAATTAAAAAACTAATACAAAAAAAAAATAAGATATCAAGTGCACCACCCAAAAATGTTCAAAACCAATCTAATCTTTATGTGTTGAAATTATTCAAACATCATATCTTTGTGTGTTGAAATTTTATAACTAACATAGTATCTTCAAGTACGGGCAATGACTATTATATCTATATAATAAAATAATTATATTGTTTGTCTTGAGCTTTTGGCGACTCAGATCGTTTTGATCCGATGGTCCTAATTGGACTTTCATTTATTTTAGAACTTAAGACTCTCATCTCTCATATAACTCTCTCTCTCTCTCTCTCTCTCTCATATTGTTATCTTCTTGTTTTTCCTTTGTATTATTTTTGTTATTATTTACTCCATAAAACAGATGAAACTGCATGTTATGTAATTATTTATTCCATGAAACTAATTAAATTTTTTTATATACTGACAACATATAATTTATCACTTGCTTCTTAATTTGCAAATAACACTTAATTTAAATCAAAAAATAGCACATTGACTATAAACATTAAATAATATTCAACACAAAATAAACCTTAGATTATAAATTTATATATAATTTTATCAAAAAATGACATTTAATTTTGTCTAATTTATATTCAACTTTGTCGAATTAATATCAAATTAGTTTTTATTGTTATCAAATTAATATTGAAATTTATTTAATTAATTTTTTGGAGTACTAAATTATATTAATTTTTTAAGTACTAAATCAAATTTTATTTGATTTTATTAAAATTTTAAAATTTTTTTGGTATTAAATTTGGAGAAAGGAAATTGTAAAAATAATAAAGTTTTTTGAGAAGAAATTATCAATTTCTGTTAGCAATATTGACAGAAGGGAGATAGAGGGGGTCTCTATGTAATGTATTTTAAACATCAGGGGTCTCCGTATTATTTATAAAATATCAGGAAGTGTCCATGTAATATTACCAAAACTTAGGCTATGTCCATAATTTTACCCTATATTTTAATTAAATATTAATTTATTATTATTTTATCTTACAAGCTTGAATTATTGTATTTTTAATAAAAACAGTTATTGGTTAGGAGAGTTTGTAGATAAACAAAAAAAATGTGTGTGGGTGTGTTTCTCTGTATATTTATCTGTGGAGGATTAAAAATTTGGTGATAAATTCATGAGCATGATCTAGTTAATTTTATTTATCACTTTAAGATTGTGAATTTAATTGTATTCTATTAATTTATTTTTTTTTGCTTGAGGTATTTATTACATGGGAATATGGTAGTTGAGTTTATAATTATTTTGTGTTATTGGATTGAGTGGCAATAGAGGTGATAAATTCATGAGTGTTATAAATGAACAAGATTTTATTTATTTCTTAAAGATTATAAATTTCAACGGGTTATGTTAGTATTTATTTTTTTCAGATGTATTTATATATATGGTGTTATTTTGGGGAGTTTTTATATATTTTTATGACAGTTCTATTAATATAGAGGATATGATCGACGATATATTTTG